TGCCCAAATTAGGAAAATGTGCATTTTGTTTCGGCTTGTGTTCTTGGCTTTAATTGATATTTTTAGCCTAATTTCATGTTATTGTTGATTGAGTTTTTGATTAAAAGCATTTCTGGAGCTTTGTGGATGTTTTTTGGAAGGCTTTGGATGAAGAAATCAAGCAAAAATGAATAATTTTTCGTTAGCTGTAAAAACAGTGTAAAACTGCCAAAGTCGTCCCAAAGTCGTGACTTTCGTTCGCGACTTTCCCGCTGTCAAAAAACGCTGCGTTTCATTTATCAAAATTGGTTGGCTAGGTACATATAAGCTGAGAGCTCGACCCAGAATGCATTCTTCAGACTTTTAGACACCTTTGGAGCTTGGTTGTGCTAGGGTTTGGGCATTGGAAGAGTTGGGATCAAGAGATTGAAGCTTTGAAGACATTTGGAGCTCATTTTCTTCGGTTTTTCTATTCCTCTTCCCTTTCCTCTCTTGTAATCTGAAATGGGTCCACTTATTTTGTATATTTGTAGCTTGTGGATGATTATGAGTAGCTAAACCCTTTGTTCTAGGATTATTTAGAACCCTTGTATGGATTAACACCATATTTCTCCTCTCTTTTTGTGATTAATGATATATATGTGTTTATTTTACTCTTTCCTTAATGCTTCTACTTGATTGGCCACCATTTAGATGTTGGGTTCACTTAATTGATGCTTGAGAGGGCTAGGTTGAGTGTAGAACTTGGGTAAAATTGTGTAAGAACTTGATATTTGCATGTTGAATGGATGGTTTTGCTAGTAAGATAGAGATATACTTGCTAGCCTTGCATAGCCACATTAGGGTTGGTGTTTAAAATTGAGTTTTATTAATTGTAACAAGAGATTGGGCAATTAATTTAACTAAACACTTGTTCATGACTTGAGAGAGCTTGTCCAAGTATTTTTAGAACCCTAGGTTAGCACTTATTTTCATTAAAAGCATTTATGAGAGGAGGTAATTTTGGTGTTATGAAATGCAAGGGGGACAATAATCCTAGGTCCTAAATTGTGTTGGAAGTTTGTGAATCACTCACTTTTCTTTATTTTCTAGTATTAGCTTTATAAGCAAAATCATTTTCACCTAACTTTTTGTAGCTCAACTTGATCAAATTTATTTAGTCTTTTGCTTGATCATTGTTTTTGAACAAATCCTCGAGGGAACGATACTTTACTTTCATTATATTACTTGCTACGACCCGTGCACTTGCGGTGAGCAACAAGTTTTTGGCGCCGTTGCCGGGGAATTGCTTTTGAAATATTGTGGTCAACCTTAGACTAGTAATATTAGATTTCGCTTGAGCTTTGTAGATATTAGTTCTAGATTTTTATTTTGTCTTTGTTCAGTGTTTTTGTTTTAGTTTAATACTTCTTGGGTTGTTTCTTCTTCAGGTACCCATTTGGCATATGCAAGTCATAGGCCCAGAAGGATTGGAAGTGATACTTGAAGGATTGACAATCTTTGAAGAAACCGAGTCTCCTAATTCTGAAAGAACTCCTGAATCGGGAAACATGGCAGAAGACCAGTATGACACCGCCTCAGTCAATGACTTTGCTAACCGGAATCTGAGGGGTACTCAATCTTGTATTCGAATGCCGGAGTTTCAAGCACATACTTTTGAGATCAAGCCCGCCATGATCACAATGCTTCAAATGAATGGTGTGTTTCATGGTCTATTCAATGAAGATGCTAACAAGCACTTGATGTCTTTTGTGGAAGTATGTGATTCTTTCAGACAAAATGGGGTGCCTAAAGATGTCTTGCGCTTGCGTTATTTCCAATTTCTCTACAAGACAAGGCTAAAGAATGGTTCAACAATCTTCCCGAAGGTTCTATTGGTTCATGGGAGGATCTTGAGAACAAGTTTAGAGCTCGATTCTTCTCTGATGATAAAACAGTGGAAGCAAGAGATGAGTTTCTTAGCTTTAAGCAATATCCAGAGGAACATCTCTATGCAGCTTGGGAGAGATACAAGATGTTGATGAAGAAATGCCCTAATCATGGAGTGGACAAATGGGTAGTGATTCAGATTTTCTGTAATCGTCTGAATCCATCTTCGAAGGCCATGGTTGATTCTATCACAAATGGGGGATATCGGAATGTGCCTGTCAATGAAGTTTTTCGCCTCTTAGACCAATTGTCTGCGAATAACACTCAAAACACGGATAGAAGGAATACATCAATGGTGACTAGTGCTAAAGATGATTCCTCTTCCCAGATTGTATCCATCTTGAATGCAATGAACAAGCGTTTTGATGTGTTGGAATCTCAAATGCAAAGGGAAATTCTCATAATGTGCATGCTGTCCAAGCCATTCCAATTGTGTGCAATCAATGCAATGATATGCACATGCCCGATCAATGTCCTCTTTATATGACCACTGAGTCTGTCAACTATATGGGCAAGTTTCAAAACCCTCACAACAACCCTTACTCTCAAACATACAACTCAGGATGGAGGAATCATCCTAATTTTTCATGGAGTCAAGGGAATTCTTCAAATCAACCTTCATCCTCTAATGTCAAGCCACTTCACCCTCCGGGTTTTCAAGCTCCACCAAAGCCAATGCCGTTAAAGAAGAGGAGTCTAGAATGGAAAAGATGCTAGCACAAATCTTGAGTAATCAAGAGTCTGCAAGAGTTGAAACTAAGGCAACTCTTACTCTTCATGATACCGCAATCAAGAACCTCGAAGTGCAAATGGGGCAATTAGCTTCACAAATGAATGCTATGTCAAGAAGTAATCTCCCTAGTGACACCATTCCAAATCCTAAAAGGGATGGTAAGGAGGAGTGTAAAGCCATCACTTTGAGAAGTGGGATGCAATTACCCGAAGTTCTTATGCCAAGTGCAAGTGGTGTGAGTAGTGATACTACTAAGGTGATTGTTGATAATGAAGTGATTAATGAAGAAATTATGGTTGAAGAGTGTGATAACTCGAAGAATGACCAAGAAGAGAAAAAGATTGAAGATCAAGCCAAAAAGGTTGGTGATGAGAAAAAGCAACTAGAGGCCAAGCCAAAATATATGCCTCCACCACCTTTTCCTCAAAGGCTTAGGAAGCAACAAGAAGATGGCCAATTCAAAAAGTTTCTTGATATGTTCAAGCAATTGCATATCAACATTCCTTTTGTGGAAGCTTTGGAGCAAATGCCCAAATATGCTAAATTCATGAAAGATGTGCTCTCTAAAAAGAGAAGGTTCAATGAGTTTGAGACGGTTGCTCTAACAAAGAGTTGTACGGATATCATTAAGCAACTACCTCAAAAGTTGAAGGATCCCGGTAGCTTCTCAATTCCGTGTCATATTGGGAATAAATTTTTGGGTAAGGCATTATGTGATCTTGGAGCTAGTATCAATCTTATGCCTCTCTCTATTTTCAATAAATTGGAGTTGGGTGAAGCTAGACCAACAACCGTGACTTTGCAATTAGCGGATAGAAGCTTGGCTTATCCACGTGGTGTTATTGAAGATGTTCTTGTAAAAGTGGATAAATTCATTTTTCCGGTTGATTTCATTGTCCTTGATTGTGAGGTGGATCGTGATATTCCTATTATCTTAGGAAGACCATTCTTGGCAACTGCTAGAACCTTGATTGATGTTGAAAAAGGTGAGCTTACTATGAGGGTGGATGATGAGCAAGTCACTTTTAACATGCACAAGTTGATGAAATCTCCCAAAGATCTTGAGCAATGCTTCTTTGTTGATATGCTTGATCAAGTTGCACAAGAAGAATTCAATAAGGCAATTCCTAATGATTTTTTAGAAGCCTTGTTACTAGGAGCTCAATTAAAGACTCAAGATGGAGAAGAGTGTATGGCTATCATGAATGCATCACCGGTTTATCCTAGAAACCGTGTCCAATTTGAATCTCTAGACTTATCTTCTCTTGGTAGACCATCTTTGAAATCCTCTATTGAAGAGCCACCATATCTTGAGTTGAAGACATTACCTTCTCATCTTCGGTATGTCTATTTAGAAGCCAACAACACTTTGCCAGTGATTATTGCTGCGGACTTGAATGAACAACAAGAAGAGCAACTTGTGGAAGTCTTGAAAGCTCACAAGAGAGCTATTGGGTGGACTATTGCCGACATAAAGGGTATTAGCCCTTCAATTTGCATGCATAAGATTTTCCTTGAAGACAATCATAAAACTTCTGTGGAACATCAAAGAAGGTTGAATCCTATTATGAAGAAGTTGTGAAAAAGGAGATCTTAAAATGGCTTGAGGCGGGCATTGTCTATCCTATTTCTGATAGCTCTTGGGTGAGTCCAGTTCAATGCGTTCCAAAAAAGGGAGGCATGACTGTAGTGGCTAACACCCACAATGAGCTAATTCCTACTCGCACTGTCACTGGGTGGAGAGTATGCATGGATTACCGGAAGCTAAATGCGGCCACTAGGAAAGATCACTTTCCTCTTCCCTTTATCGACCAAATGCTTGACAAATTAGCTGGAAGGGAATTCTTTTGCTTCCTTGATGGGTATTCAGGCTATAACCAAATTGCCATAGCTCCAGAGGATCAAGAAAAAATGACATTTACTTGTCCTTATGGAACTTTTGCTTTCAAGCGCATGCCTTTTGGGTTATGCAATGCACCGGCCACTTTTCAAAGGTGTATGATGGCAATTTTCTCTGATATGATTGAGCAAACTATGGAAGTCTTCATGGATGACTTCACGGTTTTTGGGGATTCATATGAGGAATGTTTGATCAACTTGGCCAATGTGTTGAAAAGATGTGAAGAGACCAACTTGGTCTTGAATTGGGAAAAATGCCACTTCATGGTTAAGGAGGGCATAGTTCTTGGCCATAGAGTCTCCAAAAATGGCTTGGAGGTAGATAGAGCCAAAATTTTGGTGATTGAGCAACTTCCTCCACCTACTAATGTTAAGGGTGTGAGGAGTTTTCTTGGTCATGCGGGATTTTATCGCCGCTTCATTAAAGACTTCTTCCAAAATAGTCAAGCCTCTTTGCACTCTTCTTGAGAAAGATGCTGAATTTAAATTTGATGATTCATGCTTGAAAGCATTTGAAGAGTTGAAGAAAAGACTTGTGTCTGCGCCTATCATGATGGCTCCTGATTGGAGTTTGCCTTTCATTGTGATGTGTGATGCTAGTGACTTTGCTGTGGGTGCTATGCTTGGCCAAAAGAAAGAAAAAGTACTTCACCCAATTTACTATGCTAGCAAACACTTGATGATGCTCAAGAAAACTACACCACAACTGAAAAAGAGCTTCTTGCAGTGGTGTTTGCTTTTACCAAGTTTAGATCGTATCTTGTGGGTACTAAGGTGACAGTTTACACTGACCATTCAGCTTTGAAGTACCTATTCAGCAAGAAGGAGTCTAAAGCAAGGTTAATTCGATGGGTACTACTTCTACAAGAATTTGACTTGGAGATTATTGATAGGAAGGGTACTGAGAATCAAGTGGCGGACCATCTTTCTAGGTTGAGTACTGATACTCAACTTAAATGTAATGTTGTTATTGATGAAGCTTTTCCTGATGAGCAACTCTTTAAGGTTGACAATATTCAAACACCGTGGTATGCGGACATTGTCAACTATCTTGTTTGTGGCATCTTGCCCTTTGATTTGAAGTTTCATCAAAAGAAGAAGTTTCTCCATGATGCTAAGTTGTATTTTTGGGAAGAACCCTATCTGTTTCGCCAATGTGCTGATCAAATGATCAGAAAGTGTGTTCCTGAGTGTGAGCAACAAGAAATTCTAAGATGTTGCCATTCTTCTGACTATGGAGGCCACTTCGGGGGTGACAAGACAGCATCTAAAATCTTGCAAAGTGGTTTCTATTGGCCCTCTTTATTCAAGGATGCATATGACTTTGTTTTAAAGTGTGATAGGTGCCAAAGGATGGGTAATATCTCTAGAAGGAATGAAATGCCACTCAACAACATGCTTGAAGTAGAACTGTTTGACGTGTGGGGCATAGACTTCATGGGACCATTTCCCATGTCTTTCAACAATCAATATATCCTTGTGGCTGTAGACTATGTCTCAAAATGGGTCGAAGCGGCGGCATTTCCCACTAATGATGCTAAAGTGGTGCTCAAGTTCTTGAAGAAGCATATTTTCACCCGTTTTGGAGCACCAAGAGCCATTGTGAGTGATGGTGGTACTCATTTTTGCAACAACCAATTTCAATCTCTCTTGAAGAAATATGGTGTCAAGCACAAGGTTGCACTTGCTTACCATCCTCAAACTAACGGGCAAGCTGAAATCTCTAATCGGGAAATCAAGAAGATACTTGAGAAGACGGTAGGAGTGGCAAGAAAAGATTGGTCCACCAAACTTGATGATGCATTGTGGGCTTATCGAACGGCTTACAAAACTCCTATCGGCATGTCTCCATACCGGTTAGTTTTTGGGAAAGCATGTCATCTACCCGTAGAGCTAGAACATGGTGCTTATTGGGCTGTCCAAAAGCTCAACTTTGATTTTAAAGCCGTGGGTGAAAAGAGACTTCTCCAACTAAATGAACTTGATGAATTTCGGTTAAATGCCTATGAGAATGCTAGGCAATACAAGGAGAAGACAAAGAGATGGCATGACAAGAAAATTTTATGCAAAGCATTTGAGCCAGGCCAAAAAGTACTCTTTTATAACTCTAGATTGAGATTATTTCCTGGCAAACTCAAGTCTAGATGGTCGGGACCGTTCAATGTGGTCCAAGCATTCCCTCATGGTGCTATTGAGCTAGAGAGCAGTGAAGGAGAAAGATTTAAAGTCAATGGACAACGAGTGAAGCATTACTGGGGTGGTGAGGTAGATCGTGAAGCAATTACCTTGCCCTTATCTGAGCCTCTTGAAGGAGAGAAGAGTCAGGCTGAATGACTATAAAACAAGCGCTACTTGGGAGGCAACCCAAGCTCTAAACCTTATCTTTTGATTTTTCTTTTGTAGTTTAGTTGTTTTGGTGAAGTTATGTGTGATCTTGTCTCTTTTGTAGGTTAACAAGAAGATATGAGGAAGTATAAGCCTTTGGAGAAGCAAGAAATGTGCCTAAAGAACAAAAGAGCACAAAAGGAAGGAAAATTTCAGGGAAGTCAAGCTATTTAAGTTGTTTTTATGCTTATAAACTTGTCTTGGTAATCATTTTGAGCTTATTGAAGTAAATGCAATTTTTTGTGGTTTGATTCTCATGAAAAATGATTCTTTTTGGGGGTTGATTGCATTTAAATTGAAGGAAATTGTGTATGGTTGATGAATGATGGTTAGAGATTGATTTTGGAGTAAATTGAGTGCTTGGAAGAGATTTTAAGGGGTAAATAAATCAGATTTTTGAAAACAGAGTGCTGCAGAATTTTACTGTCAAGAAAGTTCTGACACAAGTCATGACTTTGAGCTCACGACTTTGAGATTCCAGAGAAGGTCAAAGTCGTGACTTTCATTTCAGTCTTAAATCCAAAGTCACGACTTTCATCTCCTCTGGACCTGTTTTGAATTTTTTTTTCCTTCTTCTTCTTATCCTTCCAGTTCTGCAGCTCTCTTATAAAAAAAAAACATATTCTCCCTCTCTTTTCCATTCCAGCGCCTGTAGCTGGTCCTAAAAAAAAAAGAATACTCAGCTAACCTCACGGGCTTTATTCTTTGATTTCCCTATCCGATTTGGTCCTGCTTTTCACGCTCTCACATTTCTGTCCAGTTCTATCATTCCCTTCATTTCCAGTCACCGTCGTTCCCCTGCTCTTCACTGCCAGCATCCACGGTATCCCTTGCCAGACCGCTTCCTGTTTCTCTTGATCCCTCTTCGATTCTCTTCTCTAGCCCACGTCGTACCCCATTTCTTCTCTTTCATTTCCTCGTTCCCTGCCATTTTTGTTCAAACCAGATGTCTTCATCCTCACCGTAAACTGCTGTTTCCTTCCTTTACTAGTCATCATTTTCGTTCAAATCATGGAGTGTTTCTTCTTCAAGCTTCAATCTTAGCTCAGAAGCATCTCGTTTCACAGCCATTTTCATTGGAGCTACACTGTTCATGCCCGTCTGCTACTGTAGCTCCCTTTCCGCCATAGTTATTCGTGGAAGCTTGAGGGTGTCTCTTTGCCATTTGTCTCTATTTCTCCTCCACAAGCTTAAACCACAGCCCCTGTCTCCGCCATAGTCCTCTCTTAAACCCACCTTCATTATTTCTTCCTCTCATCTCCAGCACTCCCTTAGTCGATCTCCCTCGGTCTCTCCTTTACCCTCATATCTTAGCTCCTCTTGATTCGTTGCTGTCAATCGATTTCATCCACCATTTTCATTTCAAACCACTCACCAATAGCCACTGCTCTTCTCGTTGTCTATTCGTTGTCGTGTGTCATCCTCAAGTGGTTGAGCTATCGTCTCTCTGCTTGCTCACAGGTTCTGAATCTATTGATTTTTTTTTCTTTTTTGTCTTTCTTTCTTTCTTCTCTACCTCTCCACTTTGATTGGGCTATTTTGATCTGATAAGGATGTAGAAATGTCAAACCATTATTTTCCTTTGATTGCTGATCGAACTAAATGCAAATGTGGGGTGAGTTTGCAAGAATGCAATGTTCTTTTGAGGATTCTTTGCACTGTCATTTTGCCATTGTCGTTGTTGCCTTTTATCTGCCTGTGCTGCTTAAACTTTGACCCGTGAGCTTAAGGCTTAAATCCTGTATTTTGAATACTCAAGGGAAGATACTATTGTTAGTTTTTGAGTCTGGACATGTTATTGTGGCTAGTTAAATTTTTGAAGGGGATAGGATTGATATTGCCTTGCTGGATATTTTTCCTAGTTGAATTAAACCTATTGTAAAATGGCTATTGGAGGATTCAACTTGATTGAATCTTTTGTAAGAGCTGTGATTCAAATTGACAAGAATTATGCAATCATGTTGCTATTTGGTTCTAAATTTGGATAGTAAGCAAGTGTACTGCATTGAATTTTAAGCTCTATTCCTGGCATTTTTTTTTCTCTCAAAGTTTTGTGGGTGTGATTGGCTATTTATGTATTGACAATTCCATTTTTGGCTTACTTAGAAGGATAAAAAGAGTGATATGTTGGCATACTTGTACAAGTTGAATTTGGTAAGCATGAATGAGCTATTTTTCTTTGGTTGAATGCTCTCATTATGAAACTTGAGCTTTTGATTGTGACTTGTGTTCAATACTCACTGTCATGCTTCTTGATTCTGGACTTGGCTTTGCTCTTCATGTTTTAAATCCTTAGTTCAAATTTGTTATGTAGAAGCTAGACCTTGTTTAAACATGTTATGTAAAGTGCCCTTTTGTGCTAGCTTCATTTAATCATGTTTGCTTTAAGTTTGAACCTTTGTTCTTCCTTATACTGGCTGTTGCTCATTGGTATTTCATTGAGTGCTTTCTTGCAGGCCATGGGTAAGAAAAGTGTCCCTCTTTCTAAAAAAGCCAAGGTCATTGAGGTTGGTGAAAGTTCTAAGGGATCGGGATGGGATAAAACCCGATTTGCCACTGCTGCGATTCAAGACTATTTTGAGCAAAATTTGAAGGAGAGAAAAATAGTTCAAGAAAGACCTTTCCCTTTGAGATGGTCTGAGCAATTCTACAATGATTTGCATGATGTGTATCATGCCACTAGCCTCATCCGTGAACAGAGCCATGCCTCTCAGCCACTTGTGGAAGCTTTCTATGCCTACGCTGCTTGCAAGGATACCTTGCGATGTAAGGTACGGGGCAAATGGGTAGAAATCACTGAGGACACATTTCGAAAGGTGTACAACCTTTCTCCCATAGAAGAGTGCCAATATACTGTCTACAAGAATGATAGAACTCAATTGCTATTTGATGATGTAGTCCGAGTGCTATGCCTTCCTGACAAAAATATTTGGCAACATGACACCCATGGCAATCCCAAGAGTATTCTACGCTGTAATCTGAACAGGACAACTCGTATTTGGTGGCACTTCTTGGCATCTAATGTGATCCCAGTGACCCATATGAGCGATGTGACTGTTGATCAAGCTGCCCTGTTATATACCTTGATAATGAGGCAACCTGTTGACTTTCCAAAAATCATGTTTGAGTATATGCGAAAGTTGCCTAGAAGCAGATATCGCAAGCAGCCATTTGGGTTCCCACACTTGATTACTCAAGTATGCTTAGAGAAGAAGGTTCCTACTTATCCGAAGGATCTCATGCTCCCTCCTTTGCCCAAGTTCAATTATAGAGAAATTCGATGTGCTGAGGGACCAAGAGGAAATCAAGCTGCGGATGGTAGGAGGCATATTGATCCACCTTATGTTGAGCCTACACTGAGCAACCTCATAGCACTCATCCAGAACATGCATGAGGGCCTCCAGCGCCAGCTGGATCGGATTGACTTCAAGCTCCACCACATTGAGCTATTCTTGCACCAGAGATTTCAAATGGACTTGCCCGAGGAAGAAGAGGCGGCTAATACTGATGTTGGCCAAGACTCAGACACTCACGCTGACTAGCTTCACCCTTCCTTACTTTACTGCCTTTTATTTCTGTTTTTAATTCTAATTAGCTGTTGATTAGTTCTTTTTGGGTAAATATGGTTAGCCATAATCTTCTGTTATCTTTTGTGCAGGGCTAACTTTGATCTTTTTGTAGCTAATATGTGATACCTTGACTAATCTCTTGCAACTAATTACTCTATGATAACTTGTGTACATGCTGGTGTAGTTAGTTATATTTTTGGATTGCCTGTGGATATATCTCAATTATACTGTTACAGGTTTCTAGATTTTTGTGCCTCTCATGCACCTTCTTTTTGGTTGTTAAGTTGCATGAGAAAGAGCCCTCATTTTACCCTTTTGACAGTGCGGACACTATTCAATTTAAGTTTGGGGGTGAGGGTATTATTTTGGTTGATTTGACATGAACTTCAATTTTGAAACTTAGCTATTTATTGTTCCTCTCTTTTAAAATTTGAGCTAGATTGAGAAATTATTTGTTGAATAGAATGTGTGATCCAATGATAGAATGTCGCTTAAACTGTATGTTTTATAGGAAGTTGTGATAAATATTTTGGCATGCTTGATTTGCAGGGTTAAGGCTTGCTTTCTAATAATGTTGTTTTGCACTTTTGAACCAGACAATAATTTGAATGCCTCTATTAGGAAATTATGTGGCAAGTTTATGTGCATTTTCTCTCTCAATTGAGAAACTCTAGAACCTATCTTGGAATCTCTTGAGGCATTTTAATCACTTTGCATGATATTAAAATATGATTTGGGCATTCTTTCAATTGCGTTTGAGCCTTTCAAGCCCACCTATTGCATCATTTCCACTTGAACCCCTTTTGAGCCTGGAATTGAAAATCTTATGTATTTTCTTTTTGAAACCTTCATTAGACCCTAGCCTCTATAATTTGAAAAACCATGAACTACCTTACTCTTGAGATAAGTGATAAAAAAATTTTTGTGTGCTAGTAGGGAAGTTTGTTTTAGTTGTTCAAGGAGGTGTTGTTATTGTAAATTTGGGTGTGAGGAATGGAAATGAAGTTTGAAATTCTACTAATTGTGCTCCTCAAAAAAAAAGGAAAAAAAAATATAGAAATATACATGAAAAAAAAAATTTGCAATGAAAAAAAAAAGAGAGTTTCAATATCAATAAATTTGGAGTACAAGGAATGGTATTTGGGATAAGTTTGAGGGAAAGTATTTAGCTAGCAAGAATGGAATGGTTGGCTTCTCATTGTCATTTATCTCAAGTTCTTTGAATTCCATTTATCCTTTCATTTCAATAAGCCCAAAACCTTTGGCCACGCTACAAGCTTACAAAGTCCCATTGATTTTGAATTATGTGAAGTGATCTTTTAGTGGAGAGAGAAGAAGAGTTTAGGCATATGAAGTCTTGATATTGAGCTTGTTCTATGC